CTGGACGCGACAAACAACCCAGCCCCTTTTCAAACCAAACTATTCATAATCTGTTTTGTTTGTCCTTTTTTGTTGTGGGTGCGGTTTTTAGAGTTTATTTTCCCGAGGTCTGTAATGAGTTTATAGATGGATAGACGCGTTTTAAACAAATTAAACCACTTTGATTGGATTTGAGATATACAGGGTGAGTAAAAAAACACAAAAAAAACCCAAATGTCGGGACTATTGTTTTAGTGAAATTTCTGCATGTCGCACTTTCAAAATATAGGATATGAAAGCCCAATTCATAAGCTTTCTTTTAGTACAAGAATCATTAAAATGACTCAATCCAAGTACTTTTCAAGTTTTGGAATTTCAAACACAACCACCGTTTTAAAGTTATGTCCACGGATCACAGAAAAGTGCAGTGTTCTTTCAGCAAAACGAAAACAAATCACATATGGATGTGTGTGAATTGTTTTCGTTTTGCTGAAAGAACGCACACCTTTTTTTGTGATCCGTGGACAGAACTTTAAAACGATGGTTGTGTTTAAAATTCCGTAACTTGAAAAGTATGAGTGATTTGAATGATTCTTATACTTAAAGAAAGCTTATGAATTGGGCTTTCATATCCTAGATTTTCAAAGTGCTACATGAAGAACTTCACTAAGGCCAAAAAAAAAATAAGTCTCCGGTTTCTGGTATGCGCGCGCGTCGCCGTAGCCATGCGCGTCGGCAAAATGAAAAAGTTTGTTTTTCAATAAAAGATGATGTCTCAAAACTGCCAAACTCACTGGTTTGACTGGAATCCTGCTGCTGCACAATTTTAACGTGTTTTTAGATGGGGTTAGTATCGAGAATAAGCTGTATGTGGCCTCTCTGGACTCCCATATATTTTCACTAAGTTTAGTCGGGCACCAATTGCAGTCCTCAGCCGACATTTAAAGCAAAAAAAAACAGGTAAAAAAAAAAAACCGCGTAGCCGCACCACTTTTTGGGCAAGCTCCATACCAGAAACCGGAGACTTTTTTGGGGGCCTAAACTTCACTGTATTAGAAGAAACTTAAATTTTGATGGAAGAAGAGAATTTTTAAACAGCGTTGAGAAACATTCTAGGCTAATTCTATCCCCTCTGTGTGTCTCCCCATGGTAACTACCCAGATTGAGAAAGAATGTATTTTTCCATTCCTTGAAATCGTTGTTAGAGTTTTTACGTGTTTCACAGTAATAATTTAGATTAATATTTAAGATTTATTCATCATTTCACACCAATCGTGGCCCTGAGGCCAAATTAAAAGTGTGGTACATGAAATAAACAAAAAAATACAATTCACATTATAGCAAATAAAATGCGAATATATTAAATAAAACAGTGGATATAAAACATTTAAGAAAAAAACGGTAAGGACTATGACGCGCTTATAGTTATATACATACACTGAAGTTCCGGTAGTAAAAATACTTATGAGTACATTTGGATTAGTGGGAGATAACCTAATTATTTAAAATGTCGATAAAAAAGGGACTGCTTTTTTTTTTACCTGTTAGTTCTTGCAGGTAACAGCGAATTTTTGTTGTTTGACCTTAGACATCTGCCATGACCGTGTTAGAGAGTCATGGTTAAAGATATATACTCATTCTAATCTTAATCTTAATCGTTAATGTTTGAACAAAAATAGGCATTGTATATTCTTGATATTACAAACAAAGCGAAAACAGAAATTGTATGCAAAGGTCCTTGTCGTCCCCTGTCCTATAAATTTAAATATCAGAGATCACAATCGGCGTTCGGCGACCAAATCGGTGTAAATTAAGTCAGGAAAAGACAACTGTGCCGAAAACAAAATTATCACGTATATATACCGTCACCGACACCACGAAGTAACACTCTACCGTGTTAAAGCATATTTTTTTCGATTTTCAGTTTTTTGGATTTTTAAACATTATTCATCAAGGCCTACCATTGCACGAAGTTTCAAAGCTTCAAGAGCTTTACTTTAATAATTACGCTAAGTATCCATGGCAACTTTTGCGCAAAAGTGACAATTTTCGTTTTCACGAAGTAACACTCAAGTTCCATTTTCCATTGCAATGCATGGCGCGCACTCTGCTCATAAGTGAGCAAAAACGTTTTCACGAAGTAACACTCTTCTTGTAACAAGTTGTATGAGCGCGCGCGCGCTGACCTGAAGTTGCACTTTCCTCGTGTTAAATACATTGAAGAGTGTTACTTCGTGAAATCCGAAAATTTATAGTTTCGCAGCTTTTTCGGTTTCACGAACTAACACTCATCTTTTTTCTCTTATTTCTTGTTTATTTAATACACAAACGAGTGAAAAACAGCAGATTTAATAAATTCAATTCATCAAGTGTCCACAACGAGAAACCCAACTGAAAATACTCTGTCGTTTTGACGCAAAGTGTTGTTTTAGAAGGCGTTCAACTTTAGTTGCCGTTTTCTCCGATTGCTAGTTTTTACTGGTATGTAGATGGGTGTTACTTCGTGGTGTCGGTGATTTTACATCACCGGTTCACTTGAACTATTTTGTCTAATTTTGAGTTTCACAGACTAGCAAAGAAAAGAAAGACAAAAGGAAAATGCCGTAATTTGTGTTCAGTTCCAACTTCCCCCAAAACCACTGTCCGTAGGTAAAAGTTTTCAGTTTTGATCCAATTCCTCAAAGTTTTCATCGAAGTTCCGCGAAAAATACACCACGATTGCAAGTCTCAACCGCATCATTAACACTTGAATAATTCGCCAGGCAGCGCTGTCATACTGAGTTAAGAAGAAAATAAGCACATGACTTTGGAAGATGAGAAACATTGTCTGTTTCAGTTGAGACGGGACATGACCACCGGGAAGAAAGTCCGTAAACCGCGAAAGCTCGAGCGTGCAGAGTTTGCGAGATGGGAGGGGGAGTTTGTGACAAACTGCCCGCCAAGCTTTTGTCTGCGCTTCCGCATTGCCAAATGCTCCCCGCGCAGTACGCACGTCACTTGGGGCATGACAATTGAGACCATCAACTTCAACTCAATACGAAGCTAACGAAGCAAGGTTAATGAGGGAAGCTGGGCTGGCAGGGAGGGTGTGGCTGTTTTCAAGTAATGAGCAAGGGGGGGGGGCTCTTTCTAAATCCATGTGTCATACACATACCTCAATAATCCCTCTTTCACATCATTCAGTTCAGCGTAAATCAAGCATACATGAAGGAGAAATGTTATTCTTCATGATCTCATTTGTTAATGCAGTGAAGGATGTTCACTACAGAGTGTACGAGTGGGTATTGAGCGTTTTATTATATAAATTCAGGACTTCTATATGAAAGGAACTCTATAGATTTTAAAACTTCATAAAATCAAAGGAAATGTATATAAAGCCAGCCTTTAACCTGTGATTATTTTGAGATTAGTTGTCTTATATTTTCGCCTAGTTTTTACCTATTGACGAAGTTTACAAAAAAAAATCTTATTTCACCATTTAAAAAAAAAAGTTTGCATGAAAGTGTACAAAAAGTGTTTTGCTGTCGAGATGGTAACAACCAATTCAATATCGTGGATACCAAACAAATTTGATCACGTTATTGTGTATATTCACGAATTTCTCTATAGCTCCTTGGTCTTTTGGTAAGTGACTGATCTCAATCAAAATGCGCTGAATATTTTTTTAAAGCAGTTTCTTTGATTTGACGATGTCAAAAATCCAGCTTTCCTTAGATGGGGTTTGTCAGAATGGTGCCTAATGCCGATGTCCCGTTTCTTCCCGCGTCTAATCATGAAGTTATCCATTTTTTCTAAGTTCAAACGTGCCTGCTGGATTGACATATGAAAAATTGCGTTCAAACTCATCCTCCGCAGTCAGCAGGGGCGGATCTAGCTTTCAGGAAACCAGGGGTGACATGACGGCGGGGATTAAGTGAAGGCGTGACGAAGGCACACATTGAAAATTTTGAAATCTACGATACTTTTTTCTATATTCTAAGGCAATTTTAGAATAAATTTAGGAACTTCAGTGTTCCATTTATTATTTATGGCCCGATTTACTGTGTATGTCATTAGTCGGTGGCTGAACGGGGGGGGGGGGGGGTGCGACCCCCCCTCTAAATCCGCTATTGGCTAGTCGTTGCATGGCTGAAAAGTTTAATTTCAAAAATACATTTCTATGATTTAAAGGTGTCAGCAATAAAGGGGTTTTGTTCAAACCCCGATGCAGCAATTTGCTTTTCCTATAATATTGTCGAGTCTTCATGTTATCGGCCTGTCAAGTCTGCCTCATTTAGTTTCCAAAACAAACATTTCAAATTGAATGAGCTGAAAACCATTTTTAAAAATAAATTATCACGAACCTTTGAAATTATGTTATCACCCCATCTACTCTCAATAATTAGTTTGCCAAAATGGGTCATTCCTCAAATGTAGGGTCCAAGGTGTTACATTTTTCCTGACCCAGTTACCTTGATACTTTGTAATTTGCCATTCAAGTATCATTAAGAACGACTTCAAACAATTTTTTTATGTGTTAGTTCACTATTTATAATCACTCTTGGTGGACGACTGCATTAAGGAGTGCATCAAAATTATAAAATCATAGATACCAGATGGGACAGGACAAATAAATGGACCCCAATTTACAGAATGACAATTTAAAATGGTCCTCCTTTCTATTTTGACTGACTTGAAAAACAAGCCCATAACACATCGTGAGCATGTTGCGTTAATTGACGTAACGGAGCACAATACCAAACCACTGATTGACAACCAGTTTATCAACCCCCTATTCACTGCCCTAATGACCGTGTTGATGTCGCCCCAGTAAACCCTATTATCATCAGACAATCGGTTTGATTTAGCTTCCTGCCCCCTTCATTTAATAAGGACGGGCCACAATGCCCAAACCACACAGACCACCCTATCAAAAAAAGCAATCAATTGGGAATTTTGACAAACTATCTCGGGCGTTCTGGGAAACGCTGACAATAGCGCGTGGTTATAGTATCTATCGCCCAAGCTAAGTTTGCCAAGTGAGTGACGGGATTGTTTTCACTTTTAATCTTGTGTAGACAACTCACTAAGAAATACGACTTGAGTGTTCCGGAAGACATCACTTCGGATTTGACCGTCTTGCAGAGAACATCGTTTAGGAATTCCTCTGTTTCGGCGACCAGCATGACTCTGTTCACCATCGATAAGATTACCGAGAAGGCGGCGCCGAGGCCGGCTGCTCATCATCACCACGCCCGGCGGTTCCAGCCCTACCACCCGTACCCGACCGTCAGCGATGCCGCACCGGTCGGCTACCCGGCGTACCTCGGCAAACTGGCCCACTCCAGCCCGCTACCGGTAACCGGCCCGTCCGGACAACGACGGGACGAGTGTCTCAACTCCACTGGGGGCAGCCCGTCCGTCAGCCCCGGGGGCTACAGCGCCGTCAGCAGCAGCGAGGCTGGGTCGCCCGAACCGGAAAAGGCTCCTTCCAAAGTTACCGACAAGAACAACAACAAGAAATCAGGTAAGAGCAGGAAAACGATTCCTTGCTAATAATTGTTGTAATTGAATCGAAATCAATTGAGGCTAATAATGCCAACGCATTTTTAAAAATATATTTCACAAACTATTTTTTTCAAGTGTTGCCTTGCACTGCATTTTTTTTAAACCAATAATCTAAAAACGACGAAGATAATTTGCCAGTAAACAGAACAGAAAGAATGTTGCAACCTGACGCTGCTTTTTCCTTCATATACCATCTCAATGAAGGTCAGTCATTGCAAAAATGATGATGAGACATGAATCTGGGACTGAGAAACATTTCCAATTTTGTTAGGAAATACAATTTTCTTGACTCTCCATAGACTTTGTACACAACCGCCGAAGTAGCGTCAGGTTGCAACATTCATTCCAAACGAACCCTTTTCGCCAATATTGATTTAAAATGTAACCTTCATTCACTGTGAGTTCAGCAAATTCCAGATATTTAGGCTATGCAGATTGAGATTAAAAAAAACTCTTGTCGAACAAGTTCTTCTTTCCATCATACTTTCGGCACAAAATATTAAGACGACGTGTACTTAAGTTTTGAGAAACGGTTTGTTTGATACGAAACTTGTTAAACAAGCATCATTCCTACAGAAAAATACATCTTATTTCCAACATATCGTCTAAATCATTCCACTCCCTTTTTTCTTTTGTGATGTACAGATACAGATGAACACAAGAAGCCTCCCCATTCCTACATCTCCCTCATCGCCATGGCAATCCTCGCCTCCCCAGAGAAGCGTCTCCTCCTCTGCGACATCTACCAGTACATCCAGGAGAACTATCCCTACTACCGCAACAACGACCGGAGCTGGCGCAACAGCATCCGCCACAACCTCTCCCTGAACGAGTGCTTCATAAAGTACGGCCGCAGCGGCGACGGCAGGGGCAACTTCTGGGCCGTCCACCCGGCCAACGTCGAGGACTTCTCCCGTGGGGACTTCCATCGTCGCCGGGCCCGCCGTCGAGTCCGGGCCAGCGACATGATGCTCCACGGCTACTCGGTGTACCACCCGTATGCCGCTCCATCAACACCCGCTCATGCCTACCCGGTTCCCGTGGCCGCCACCCCGCTGGGATTCGTGCCCATGACTGTGACCACCTTACCCCCGTACCCAGTCTCCACTGCCGTGTACCCACCCAGCAGTTACCCAGCAGCCGGTTACCCAGTGCCCACTTTGAACCCACTTCCACCGATGACTTCCACGTCTACCAGCCCAGTCTCCACCCGGCGGAGCTCGCCACTCAACCTTGCCATCCCCGGCAAGTCTTCTCCAATCTTCACCACATCCTACGAGCACGCTCCCGTCAGCCTGCCGTCTTCCTACCCATCAACCCAGCCGAGCTACGTGTACCCTCCCTCTACGACCCAGTCGCCCTTCCACTACAGTCCCCCAACATCAAGAGACTCACCCCTCGCCAGATACCCACCCACAACCCTGGGGCTCGCCCCGGCTCCTGGGTACGGGTACCCTGCCGTTTCCCAATCAGTTATCACGAGCTCCCTGGGCAGTTACCAGACTGAGTCCGCCATTCCTCGTTTTTTGCACTAAAAACTCTTTGAACATTTAAAGAAATTTGTTTTGACAATGGAAACATTCGTCGTAAAGTATATGAAAGCCTTCGACAAAAAAAAACACACTTCAGCGCTTTCTGAACATGAGCTGGACTTCTCAAAAATCTGAATGAAAATTCTTAATTTTTTTTTCTTAATTATAAACCATTTTTTGAGTAACTTGCTATAGTTTTGTAAACCTTTTGTATATAATTATGTACTATATACGATGTCTAATTTGCTTTGAGAAAGCTAAGGTGTACAGTTTAAAAAAATGAATTTGAAAAATGTTTTCGTGTAAATATGTGTTGATAATCATTGTTCCTTTTAAATCGATAAATTGTTCCTGTCACAGTGATCACTGATGTTTAAAATGATAATTTGCTCTATAAGAGAGAACGCAATTGTAAAATGCATAATGAGGGCGCTATTTTTTTCACCGTTATTATTTTACAACTTTATTATTTGAAACTGCAATAAAATTAATACAATGCTAATGACATTGTAGAAACTGAATTCAATGGGCCGACCACGTTAAATTTCATTGATGTTCTTTCTTTTTAGTGGTGGTTGGGGTTCTAAAACAAAATCTTGGTAAAAGTAGTCTCCCGTTTTGTAAACGAATTTCAAATGTTAATCCTGAACAGAATTTTTTTAATCTGACAGTAGCATAACTGGGGGGGGGGGGGGGGGGGGGGGGGGTGAGAGAGGACACTTTGGAGATCACACAGGGGGCTCTGTCAGAGTTTCAAACGCTATTTGTCAGAGTTTCAAACGATAAAAGGGGGCACATGCATGGACGTCAATCACTACTGAAAAGGGGGGGGGGGATGCGAGCGCGAAGCCCTAACGGCGTGGGGTTCGGGGCCCGCTTAAGGGCCTTGGCAAATGTTGGCTTCTAGACGCCCTGACATGTGGTGCGATCTGAGATAATTTCTGACCACTTTAACTTCTTTTAAGCTAAAGATCATCATTTAAACATCATATAGAGTTATTGAATCAGCTATTCTGAACTATAGAATCAAATGTATAGGCTACAATTTTTATTCGGGGACGAAAAAGTGGGGGGGGGGGGCGGGGAGGGGGCAAACGATATGATATCCCCCAACTTTAAAAAGTTTGTGTGTGTGTGGGGGGGGGGGGGGACATGTCCCCCCTGTCCCCCACCGGTTTATCGCCCATGGGCACAATTGAGCGGTGGGGGTAGGTAGGTTGCTCCCCCATGCGCCCCTTAACTGCCCCTCATTGTCTCAGACACTTGATCATTTAAAAAAAAGTTTCATCAGGTAAACAAAAATCTAAACCTGTTTTCAGTCCGCCATACACGTGATCAAAATCTAGGCCTATCACAAGGTAGTGATGAGACATCCGCGCCGTTGGGGGCGCCACAAAATTCAATTGATCCAGCCTCCTTTCGTTTGAATGTCAGCCATGATTTTGCTAATATTAGCAAAATGTAGCCCATTCAAAATTGACTCACTTTAAAAAGAACGACCCTTTTTTTGTTCTATTCCCTAAAGAAGTGTTTTGGGATTGTGTCTTATTTGAATAAAAAAAAGTTGAATCTTAACGGATGTTATAGAATCGATTACTTATCTTCTGTTTGTTTGGAGTTCGATCGTTTAATTTCTGCACGACTGGACCAGCAAGGCCATGGCAGGTAGCTGTTTCGGGTACCTATTATTTCGGTTAAAATCGATTCCAGCGTGTGACCGGAGGCAAAATGACTGGACATGAAAAGGGATACCTTTTAAAGCGGTCCTTTCTTCTGTGCCATTTTCCAATCGATATTTGAAAATTTCACACGCGCATGCGCAATGTTTTACACAAAGTTTTTGTTTTCATTGATGGAGACATTTCAATCAAATGACCTGCTGTAGTCTGGTGCATAATAAAAAAAAATAAACGAAAAAAATACCTCCCCCATTTTTTTTTAAACGGAATGAGAAGCACATGCTGTTGACTGTGCTGAAGTTTGTTGGAAATTTTTCCCCCAAAGAGAGCGGTGGGTCCCGCGGGGACTTATGCTTGTTTCATGCTTTCTGTTTAATAAAATATCGCAGTTATTCTCAGTTATCGATTGTAGAAATTAAAATTAACCACATTTACATGAAAACTCACCAGGGAAAGAGATGGGTTTTTAACATCATGCTATACCGGGGGAGGGGGAGGTGAAAATAGGTGGCGCTGTTTAAGATAACTTAATATGTGCGCATAATTCACGATCATGAACTTGAGCTGGGCGCGTTCTAGTTCACTTCAACTGTGTTATTTCAACCGTGGGGAAAACAAAAATAAGTGTTATGTTTCTAGCAATACAAAAGGTAACCATTTTAAATGAGACTTCGAACGAAAAAAAGTGCGCCACGTTTAGCTATGAGTTCTTTTACAAATTTCAAAGTTTTTGCAGACACGCAATATGTTAAATACAAAGAGTCAAAGTTATTGCGAGAATGCTAATCTGTATTAGGATAGCGAATTACAACATCGGATAAGAAGCTTGACAAATATTGATATTTTTTATTTGATTGCAAAACATTAATTCCCAATACAGCTTTTTATTTAATGCGACTGAATTTTCTGCTGGAAAAAAAAGTTTTAATACTACTAATAGCAATTTATGGGGTGGTGATCATTTTCTATCGGTAAAATGCTCGCTCGACAAAATGCTCTAGTTTTGAACACAGGAATCGACGCTTCTCTTCAAATATTTATCCAAACTTTTTGACTGGGATCAAAATTCGTGAACTTTGGTCTTATTTTAATGCTCTTTTCCCGTAATGTAAACTGACGCTTGTAAACACTGCTGGTCGTTTGATTGAGAGGTCACCTGCCTTGCGATTTGTATAGCCCAAATGGGCTTGCTGTGGTTTCCTAAAACGTCAAGGGATGTTTCCAAAGCGCATCGCGCCCAATATCGTATTTTCCGCACGATCTGCTGTGGAGGATTGGGCGCTTTATAGCGCACCCATATCTCAACCGTTGATTCATTCAATGGAGTAGTATTCAACATGGCCGAAAGACTCCGTCGCGACCCCCTCCCCCCTCAGTGGTCTTACGGGGTCAAAGCGGACGGGAGAATCTTCTTCATCAAGTGAGTATCTTCTTTAATTATCCACCCACCCTCGAACCAAATTCTGAGCCCGTACCACCGATTTCAGTGGACTTTTCTGACCACTTTTTGTGCCGTACTTTTGCAGCGAAGAGACCCGTTCAACCACTTGGCTACACCCCGTGACTGGCAAGGCAATCTCGTCTGGCTGGGACGACCGCGTCGGTGAGTGTTTTTACTTAAACAAGCAATAATCTGGATTACTTCCTGATCGGAAACGATCACTCATTTCCATCACCGGTGGGCGATTGGGGACTTTGGATAAATGATCTTTCATTAGGTGGTGTTAAGAAAAGCTGTCAGTGTCTGGAAAGTGTTGAAATATGGTGGATTTTTGAGTTGGTTTGATTAGATTTTTGGTGGCCTTTCGTTTAGCGAGCACTACTATTTGTAGCGCACGTACAGTGTCAATAGAATTGGCCATGCATAACGTATGTAGATTGTTTGAAAACCACTCAACCATGCCGTTATTGTACACGGATGATGATACTCACTATTGTCAATCGAATGGTCAGGGCCTTGCTTTAAAGTAAATAAATATTGGCGTGACTGGCAAGTGGCAGCGTTCATGGCGTTTGAGGGGTTAATAAGAAATACTAAATATCATTAACAATATCATTATCAATAGCATTAGCATTACACACAATTGTATAATTTTGTTAATTGTTAAATATGGAGTAGGGCATAAGACTTAAGAGTAAATAATAAATCTTATTATGGTCGTGATGACGATAAATCTTAAAATAACAAGAATGATTTATGTTTGTTTTGTAACAAAACACTTGTCGTTCAGGCTGGAATTTCTCTCGGTTTATTGGATTCTTTGTTTGTTTTTGTATATTTATAAATGAAAGAGGAAAAAAAACATTTTGGAAGAGAACTGCCATTTTTAATAAACAATCTAAGGTTCTTCTTATTCATTTTTCACTGTACTTGATTGTCCCCATTCACAAATGTAGGGGTATAGGCAGTTAAAGGGAAGATACAACATTTGCAAACATCAAAAACGAAATGATCAAATTATCACGAAATACCTTACTGGATTGTTAGGGAGTGACAGTCTAAAGCATCCTGTAAAATTGTGGCTCCTGGTGTGCTGACATTCTCAAGAAAAATTGTATTTTTCCAACGGTGGTCGGCCGACCAGCGTTGGAGAAAACTGGCTTTTTTCAAAAGCTGCTCCTAATTTTTTACATATTTAGTTATTCTCCATGTAAGTTGCAATTGATCACACATCTGTGAAGGGGTACAAGCCTGCTAGACTGATTCTCTGACCTTCTAGTTCCCCAAAGCCTATCAATTGCTGCGTTTCATCTTAAGTGGGGTCAGGGAACCAGACTACAAGAACATGATTGGTTTTCTTGGTTTTTCCAGCATACCAGCCCAAAACGTGAAACAAGTCAGTTTAACAATATTTGCTATAACATTAACATACTAATTTTCCAAATCCATTTATTTCTGAAAATTGCAGTAAAAGCAAATGTTGTACCTTCCCTTTAATGTAGCACCTGCTACTTTTTTCACCATAAACATTGAACACGTAATGTAAGAACTTATGTTTAGAAAATACTTTCATGACTCCCCATAGACTTATTACCTACACACCCACAAAAGTGGTCAAAATGAATACATTCTTTCCACAGATGGAATTACAGTGATACTGTATTTGTATGGTGACACATGAAAAGTATCGACATACCATCTTTAAGCTGTACAATGGACTGAATATGCCTCACTGGCGACACACATTCTGAACATGATCTTGTTTTGATCTTGTCAAAACACCTGTTATGTTTACCCCCCACCTTCACCTGTGGGTTAAGTATCTGAGCCTTACAGGTGCTGGGATTTGTTTCAGGCCCTGAACCCTAAATAACCTCACGAAAAGAAAAGGACCCGATATGTGCTCCTAGGGGTGCCATGTATTACGTGTACAATAAATTTCAGATAGCTGGGTAGCTTGGGACCCCATTTCATTGTTTTAAAGTCCCTTAGGTCCCGTAGTGCGAAGATTACAAAATAATTGGATCACGTTTGAAATAATGAGACGGTTTGGGACCATTATATTTATGTACCGGTACTTGTGTGTCATTGTCTACCCACTCCTTCCACCCACACATAAGAAAATATATCACTGGAGGTATTTTGGGGAATGTGGTAGAACTGGTACATTCAAATGTAATTGGTTTCTGCTAGCAGTGTACATCGGAACCGGGTATCCTTCGCTCGTACCCCCGCCCTGCAAACAGGGTGCTGGGAAGGGCACCCTTCGTGAATTCGAAACGGAGCCTGAGCAACTGACGGGAGTTGAACATTTACAACACAGATCAGTTTTACAGATTTTCCTACATTATTATGCTTTTCAACCAAAAAAGGGTGCCGCATTTATGAATGGGAATAAAAGAGTGATGAATGACTCAGTCTTAACGGCCGTTTCAAACCTTGCAGGGTCGTGGCCGTGATGACTTGCAGGTCACAGGTCACGCAAAATCTATCCAATCAGAGCGTTACTTTGCAGTTCGGGGGATACGAGCGAACCGGGTACCTGAGTACCCGACCACTGATGTCAGGAACCGGTTCCAGATTATGGAATCGGGTACCTGTGTAACCAACTTTACAAATTACGTAGTTAATAGTTACTGCTCAGACAATGAAAAAGAAAGGTTTTGAATGTCATTTGTGGGAATCTTCAAAATGAAAACCAGGCTACATGGAAAATATAAACAGATTTCACGTTTATGTGTATTTTTGTAACGTGCAACAGATGACCTCGCGAAAGTTGCGGTTTACACCGTGAAGCTATGGTACCGGTATAAAAGCCCTTCAGACAACTTCCAGGATTTGAATTTTGGAGTTGGGTTTTCTTCTACAAGTACCCAAGTACCTGTATTTAAACTTCAATAGGGTACCTGATTGCAGTACTGCTCTTACACCACTAGTTTCTGCTCATGTATTGTCCAGACTACAAAACTATTGGCTGTACATATTCTTACTGTCATGCCCTGTAGGAATTACAATAAGGCTGTTCGTGGTATCAATAATTTACGGCATTCAACTGAGGCAAAAAGGAGTTTTGGTTCAGTTTTAGAGATGGGAGGGAAACCCCTAGATACATGTAAGTTCTTAAGGAAATTTGTGGAATCAGGTGGAGACTGAAAACCTAATCCACTCGTCAGCCCATGTGTGATTGGAAATCGAGGTCACGAGAAAAAAGCCAGGAAATCATCACTTTACCACTCGCAGGGGGTTGCCAAATTTCCTCTTTGAAAAACAATTAATTAATTAACTGCTGAATCCAACAGGATCCAACTATGTCATATACCCGATGGAGCCTGTTGGATTGAGCAGTCAACCCCTTGTGTACATTCCTCATGCAAAATGTTGGATTCAGCAGGCAACTGAACCGCATTATAGCACCATGTTGGACTCCATTGGATTCAGCAGACAACTGAAAATGAGGCACAGTGGATTGAACAGGAAAGTCCGGTTGGACTCTGTTGGATTTAGCAGGGTAGTCCTGAGGAAGTACTAGGGGGTTAGGGTTGTACATGGACATTGTGAAAGTGAAAGAGAGTTCCCGCTTTAAAGTTTTGACTTTGAGGTCAGCTAGCACCATGAAACCTTGACCTTTGGCATGCAAGAATCAGTCAAGAACACCGTCCCAGCAGACAAAACATTCCCTCTTGCTGAGAATGATCATGAGAGGAGAAATTTTACAGAGATGCTAAAAACAGCACACCATAATTGTGCTGAGATCAGGAAATTTTATACAGACGTCTAAACAAACAAAATTTCAAAGTGGGGTGCTGTGGTCCAAAGGCTACGGTGTTCGACTCTTGTACCGTGGTACATGGGTTCGATTCCTGATCGTGGGAACATAGTGCTTGTGCTCTTGAGCAAGGCACTTTACCATTATTGCTTCGTCCTTCAAATGGGACGTAAAGCCGTAGGTCCCGTGTGTTGTGTAATGCACGATATAGAACCCAGTAACACTTATCGCTAACTGAAGGGGTTTTGCCCCAGTGTTTCTGGCAGTAGCTGCAATTTGCGCCAAAGCACCTAGCAAAAAGGTGCTACATAATGGGTCTTATCTGTTTATATACTTCATTTAAATACCTGTCTTTCGTTGCATTCTCCCCCAGTGCTTTGTATCCTTTGGAAAAGGCGCTATATAAATATTTTCATCCAGTAGTCTCACCGGGATTTTCAATAAGGGTTGGGGGAACGGGTTTAAATACAAAGTTAAAGTTGAGAGAATTATTGTGATGATGTGGAAATGGAATAAGGTACATTTTTAATGGTCAAAATGATATTTTGAACTTTCTTAAAAGGAAAACAGCATTTTAAAATTAAAATCAGTGGCTCTGATAGCAGGACTATTCACATAGTGTACACTGTAAGTAATTAGAAAAAATGTAATTATTGTGTAGCTGTTTACATTGTTTTGTTTTGTTACAAATACTAGAAATGTGCTCATTTTATCATTACCCACTTTTATTTTGCAATAGATTTACCGCCAGGATGGCAGGAAGGAATAACAAGGGAAGGTGCGGCATACTTCATGAAGTAAGTCATTTCCGTTTTTTGTTTATTTAAAGATATAGTCCATCATTTGTAATTGGTGCATTTTGTTCGTTTGAAGCAACAAAAGTGCTCAAAATCTAATGAAGGATACTGAACAACTAACCTGATGAAGTTTCAGCTCAGCTTCAGCTGTATATTCCGAGAAAAACAGCATTCTGAGGATCTCAATTTCAAAACAAAAGTTGCTGAATCATGTTTTGAATTGTTTTGAATTGCAGCTATACGCGATGTTGCGCACTGATCCGACGAATTATAGCAACTGCGTCGTGCCAATGCTTGCGCGCTGCGCCGAAACAAAACGAACTACTAATTTAAATTTTCCTACGGTGCGTCTTGAGACGCACCGTTAGAAAGGCCTTCTTTCGTTGATTTCTTCAAAATGGCAGCTTGCCAGAAAGAATAATTTCACAGGGACGTTAGTCCACTTACTACCGGTATCTTTCAACCAAGTTTGTTTTTCAACAATAATACACCAGTTACTTTTTCGGATGGCTGCAAATGATGGACTATAGCTTTAACAATATGTTTAGCCTCGTCACGTGGACATGTGAAGTCTATCTTGAAATTGTTCAGCTGTAATCTGCATCTTTCAGTATTTGGTAACTTTCTCTAGTTAATTGAAAATCTCTTTGTATACATGTACCAGTAGCATATTTGCAAGTGCAAAGGTAGAGTCAAAATTTAAAACAAAGTTTGCAGGAGTTGCTATTTTAAATGTTAGTATTAAAGTTGTTGCTGAACAAGGGAATAGATGCTAATTATGGCACTAGATACAATGTAGTTACAGTTAGGTTCTCATCCTGAGGCAAAAACCTTTCAAATGTATAATCGCTGATTCTGCACTAACCAGACTTCAAAATCTCTGTCACAATGCAAAGCCAACTGTTAAAGCTGAGGGCAAAATCTCTGAACGGATTATTTGCTTTTGTGATGGTTTAATCTGTGATAGAGATTAGCAAACCCCCATACAAATCCAAAGCCCCGTAAATATGCAAAGATTTGCAATCCGGCTCAGCATCCTGTTATAGCTTTTGAATTGTAAGGATTTACATGTTCACTCTGATTGTTAAGCACTCACTGCACAGTAGAGTGTGTTGTGTTCTGTTCTCATATTGATGTGAGTTGTGTAAGCATGTACACTTGCTTTAAAAGCAAATAAATGTACACAGTAAAGTCGTATTTAGTAATTTGTCCATTATAACAGTACATTTTTTGACATACACATTTAGTCGTATTCAATCTTGGACGTCCTGTTGTCCCCCTTTTGTTTATACTTGAACTTTTTAGGGAAGACTCCCTATAGCCTACATGTATGTTTTGTACTCAACCCCAATCACGGACGTATACTGGGAATCGCCGACGATATTGTTCTTATGTACATAAGATTCGAACCAGTCAACCGATCCCGTTAGCTCGGTGGTAGAGTGGTAAGACATCTGCACTAGAAAGCAGGAGGTCGTGGGTTTGAGTCCCACCCGAGTGATTTTTTCCAACTTTCACTCGGGAGGTAACACACTGAGTATACAGTGTTTAAACGTCGGTGAAGGGCAAAACCTAATTTGATATTGTTCTCTTTTGGGAGCACAATTTGGGATAATTCATACATTTCATTTACTGCTTCCCAACACTTACCGGTACATGTAAAAATGAAATGTCTGTCCATTTTGTGAACGTTAAATCTTGATTATCCTCTGTGGAAAGATTCCCATATCTGCAGCCATCACTAATTTTCCCCTGTAGTGACCTATCGGCTATCAGAAAGTGATAATTTGCCCTAAAAAAATCAAATTAAGCAGGGAAAATATGGAAGTATAAATTTACTAAGAAAACACTTAGAAATTTTCAGACCAGTCTCATGGAGTTTGTGCACGGGGTGACAAGTGATGGCCAGATATGGGAATCTTTCCTCTTCTGTAATTTCTGGAAACCTGAGAAATGTATCAAACTTGTTGGTGGGCAATTTTCTTACTACGGTAGGATATTGGATGTAGAAAGAGGGAAAACATGACAGATTTAATACTTCATGTATCAACTCCTGGTTCCCTTTAAAGAGGTTGTGGAATGCTCGAAGACATTTCTGTCATTTTTCGGGTATATGTAGCCTAAGGTGTGATGAAATAAAAACGACTATTGTTTCTGTCATAAAATGAGTACAAAAGGTACTTTTGAGAGCTGTTTTTCAAGTCCTGTCATGCCTGTTTCGACCCGAACGTGCAATTTGTGTAAAAGTCGTCGTTGCGGGCAGCAAACAAATAACAGTAAATTGTGACGTAATAAACAGGACTCCCGATGCAGAGTAGCATAAACGAGTCCTGTTTATTACGTCACGATTTACTGTGTTTTGTTTGCTGCCCGCAACGACGACTTTTACACAAATTGCACGATCGGGTCGAAGCAGGACCTAAAAAATAGCTCTCAAAAGTACCCTTTGTACTCATTTCATGACAGAAACAATAGTCGTTTTTATTTCATCACACCTTAGGCTGCATATACAATGTACCCAAAAAATGACGGAAATGTCTTCGAGCATTCCACAACCTCTTTAAGTGTCACACTTTTGTTACCATTTGTGTGGAAAGACCCTGTTGGGTCAATCTATAAATTTAGGGTCCAAAGTGTGACATTTTTCCTGTCCCTGTTACCTTGGAACTTTGTAATTTGCCATTCAAGTATCATTAAAAATGACTTCAAATGATGTTTTATTTATTGGGTAGGTCGTTTGCTATTCGTAATCACTCTTGGGGGACGACTGCATTGAGGAGTGAATTAAAATCATAAATCATATATGTCAGATGTAACCGGGACAGGAACAAAAGTGGACCCCAAATTTATAGAAAGACCCTTTTGCAAAAAGAGAGTGCTTTTATTTTTAATATTTTATGGATCGACTGCTACATTTTTATTGACACGCGCTATACTGGGTTCATGTATAAACTTTTGAACCCAGAATTATTCAGTCCGTCTGTAGCCATAGGAGTCGGGCATCATTGGCCGTTTGACTGCCCCAGATTTCATGTGATTTCCCCGCCTTTTTTATGTACGGTAGTCTGTGGCATTGTGTTACCCAGGTAATTTCTGTGATGGTGCCCCAGTTGTGGACTGAACTGTGGCAGAAATAATCCCAGAGTAATGGAACTCGGTTGTCATTGTGTGTGTGTGTCGTAGTCCTGTGAATGAGGTTTTTGAAGACAGTTGAGAAATCTGAGTCTGTCTGACGGCAATGTGTCAAAATGTTGATGGATTTTGGTGAAACTTTGAATAGGAAAGGGCTTTGCTGATTCAGAAGGTGACGTTGCTATTTTTCACAGACAGTTGAGGCTGTTTTTGTGTTAAATCATTAAAAAAGAAAGTGCTTTGCCTAGTGTAAAATGACAATGCTGTATTTTCACAGATAGTTGGAGAGTGACTTACATGTACAGTCAAATCCTGATAAGAAGAGCACTGTTAAAGGGAATGTACATCATTGGCTTTTTCTGTAATTTTCAGAAATGAACTATTTGAGTGTTAGTATCATAGATCAAATATTGTTACACTGACATGTTTGAAGTTTTGTGTTCGAAAATGCTGGAAAAACCAAGTAAAACAAACATTTTCAAGTAGTCTGGTTCATTGACTCCACTAAAGATAAAATGGATCAATTTATAGATGCCGGAAAACTGTAAGGTAAGGGAACCAGTCTAGCTGGCCTGCACCCGTTCATGAACATTGTAACCAATAGCAAACAAAATTTGGACTAAAGAAGGGGTAAAGTTGGAGCAGTAGTTGAAAAATAGTTAGGTTTTTCCAACAGTGGTCGGCCGACCACCGTTGGAAATTTATACAAAAATACCATTTTCTTCAAAATGACTTCACACCAGGTGTCATAATTTTACACGATGCTTTAGACTGTCATTTACCAACATCCTAGTAAGGTATTTCGTAACAACTTGGTAGTTTTATTTTTTGATGTTTGCAAATGTTGTATTTTCCCTTTAATACAAGATCCTGCTTATAGCAAGCACAATTTTAGGTCCCAAGTCTTTATTTTTTCTTTGTTTTCCATTACCAATACAAGGTACATTTGTACCTGTTACAACAAGGTACATGTAATTCGTAGAGTCCCAAGGACCTTGTTATAAAGGTGTTCAACTGTGAGTAAGTTAATGGCGTGAACTAGTATAGTTAACCCGAGTTTGTCTAACTTCACTCTAAAACGAAGGATAGTTGGACTACTGTAGTTTGACTATTTGGACCCGGACCACCCGGCACGGTTGCATCGCTGGTTACCAATAGCCGCGCGCATCATGAAGCACAACAGGGAGCCAGGACGCAGTAGTTTTGTGATTGAATTTTGACCAGAATTTGACTGGAGGTGTTTGGCAATGCGATTAGTGTGCAGGCGTAAGATACCGGTACAAAATGTACATCACAAATCAACCACTAGTGGGTGGACTACTGGCCCCTGCCCGAACTTGCTGATTCCTGTGGCAATTTAGTATAGGAATTGTGGCTTCATGTGTCCAATGTAGCTTTGCTTTCGTTTTGAAAATTCTCCACAAATGATACTCAAAACCCTTCTTTTTCATTCTCTGAGAAGTAAATTTAAAGCTACAGTCCATCATTTGTAATTTGTGCATTTTGTTCGTTTGAAGCAACAAAAGAGTTCAAAATCTAATGAAGGATACTGAGCAACTAACCTGATGAAGTTTCAGCTAAGCTTCAGCTGTACATTCCGAGAAAAACAGCATTCTAAGATCTCAATTTCAAATCAAAAGTTACTGAATCATGTTTTGAATTGTTTTGAATTGCAGATACGTGACGTCGCGCACTGATCCGACGAATTATAACAACCGTGCGCGTGTGCGTCGTTCCAATACTTGTGCGCACTGCACTGAATAACCAAACGAACTACTAATTTAAATTTTCCTACGGTGCTTCTTAAGAATCACCGTTGGAAATGCCTTCTTTCGTTGATTACTTCAAAATGACAGCTTCCCGGAAAG